GTCGCTGTAAGTCGGAACCGACTCGACAGCACCAAATAATAATAACAAAAACTATTTCAGTAAAACAAGGTACATTCATACTAAGCTACTAAGCTGTATTATACAGCCTATTGTTGTTGTTATGTGCCGTGAAGTTGGTTCCGACTCATAGCGACCCTGTACAAGGTTTCCGAGGCTGTAAATCTTTATGGGAGCAGAAAGCTTCATCTTTCTCCTGCGGAACAGCTGGTAATTTTGAACTGTTGACTGTGAGACTAGCAGCCTGATTCATAACCACTACGCTACCAGAGCTCCTTTATACAGCCTATAAAGGAGCTCAAATGGTCAAATAATTCCGTAAGGACAGTGTAGAAAGTATTAATAGACTGAATCTACTGTGGTGTTGTGTTTTAAGAAGAAAATGTCTAAAGACACTTTTAACCTTTTATTGTGAATTGAATGAAGGTCTATAGAAGAGAGCATCAGGCCCACATCCACCAAATCATGTATTTGAAGGCATCACAACAGTGTTTACTTCTCTTCACTTTAACTCTTGCCGGGTTCTCTGTTTCTTTCACTACCTGCATCTTTCCTGTGCCAACCTCCCACTTGTTGTATATTGCCTTCCCCATCACCCAGTTAATGTGTCCATCCTCTACCCATTGAATAATTTTCCCTTCCCTCCCACCCCTGGTAACCATCATAAAATGTTTCTCCTAGCAAGAAACCTTTTCTTAACATTTTTTTAAAAACCTTTTCATAACATTTTTTTAAACTTTTTATTGTGAACTGAGTGAAGGTTTACAGAGCAGATCATCAGTTTTGCATTCAGCAAATCATATACTTTGCTTCATTACAGTGATTGTAATCTGCCCACCATGTACCATCGATTAATAACGTTGTTGTTGTTATGTGCCATGGATCTGACTCATAGCGACCCTGTACAGGGTTTCTAAGGCTGTAAATCTTTACGGGAGCAGAAAGCCTCATTTTTCTCCTGCAGAGCGGCTGGTAGTTTTGAACTGCTGACTGTAAGATTAGCAGCCTGATTCATAACCGCTACGCTACCAGAGCTCCTTTCAATTAATAGTATTTGCCTTTAATTCTTGCATTCCTCCCTGTGTCTCCTGCTATCTTCATCTTTCCTCTGCCAACCTCCCTCTTGTATACTGCCTGCCCTGTCACCCATGTTAACTAACTTGTGTCTACCTACTAGCCCATGGATAATTCCCTACCCCGCTCCTTTCCCCAGTAACCACCATAGAATGTTTCATTTAGCAAGAAAATCTTTCCTTAATTTTTTACAACAATGGGCTCATAATATTTGTCCTTTTGTGATTGATGAATTTCACTTAGCATAATGTCCTCCAGTTTCATTCATGTTATGAGGTGTTTCACAGATTCATCATTATCCTTCAACTTTGAATAGTGTTCCATTGTATATCTGTACTAAAGTTTGTCTAACCATTCTTCTTTTGTCAAGCATTTATGCTGTCTCTATCTTTATGCTATTGTGAACCATGCTGCAGGGAACATGGGTGTGCATCCATCCTTGTCAGAACTCTGATTTCATGAGGATATATACCAAGTAGAGTAATTGATAGGTCATATAGTATTTGTATTTCCAATTTTTTGAGGAAGCACCATAACGTTCTCCACAGTGGTTGTACCATTTTATGGTCCCACCAGCAATGTAGAAGGGCCCCAGACCCTCCACACTCTTGCCAGCATTTTTTGTTTTCTGGGGATTTTTCAAACCTTGTTATAAATGGGCGTACTGGTGCAATGCTGTACGCTAATGTGCCAGACTGCAAAGCCATTCGAACTGCAAGGTCAGCAGTTCAAGCTCACCGGTTGCTCTTCGGAAACCCTATACAGGGTCGCTATGGGTCAGAACCGACTCAATAGCACTTAACAACAACACCAATCAATGCTAGGGTAAGATGATATCTCATTGTTGTTTTGATTTGCATCTCTCTAAAGGCTAATGATCACAAGCATTTCTTCATGTTTATTGGCCAAATGAATGTCTTCTTTAGTGAAGTGTTTAGATTATTTTTCTTCTTGTTTTTGAGGTGTTGAAGTGTTACATAAATTTTAGAGCATAGTCTCTTGTCTAATGTGTCATTGCCAAAAAAATGTTCCCAGTCTCTTTCTACGCTTTTAGTGATTTCTTTTTTTTTTTCCTCCTCTCTGGGCAAGCATCCTCTCTCCCTAAGTCAGGGTGAAGCTTAAATATTGAACTTGGGGGTGGGTGGGAGATTTGGGCTTCTTTTTTCTTTTTTTCAAGGTTTACAGATCATTAGCTTTACAGTCAACAAATTAGATACGTTGTAGCTTTACAATCAACAAATTAGATACGTTGCTTCAATACAATGATTGTAATCCCCTCCATGTACCAACAGTTTACCTCTGTTCACTTTAACTATTGTATTCCTCCTGTGTCTCCTGCTACCAGCTAACTTCCCTCTTGTCGTATATTGCCTGCCCATGTCACCCATATGTCTACCCGCCAGCCCATGAATAATTTTCCCTCCCCCCTGACTCCCATAACCATCATAGATTGTTTCTTTTATTAAGAAAACTTTGTTTTAACTTTTTACAACATTGTCAAATACAGTAGTTGCACATTTTTGATTGACTAATTTCACTCAGCATAATGTGTTTCTTCCAGGTTTATCTATGTTGTGAGGTGTTTTACAGATGCATCTTTATTTTTTCATCATTGCATGATATTTCATTGTGTGTATGTACCAAAGTTTGTTTAACCATTCTTTTGTTAATGGATATTTCGCTGTTTCTATCTTTGTGATGTATCTCTTGTAGAAAGTACATTGAAGGATCCTCTTTTCTTATCCATTCTGCTCTGTCTATTGACTGGTACTCTTAATCCATT